GGCCTTGGTTCGGGCCTCACGCGGGGACGTGGGCGGCAGCGCCAGCAACAGCGCGCCTGCCTGGGCTGGGGGAAGCGCGCGCCGCAGCCACTCGCAGAGCCCGGGGAGTCCGCCCCTCCGCAAGGGAAACACCGGCGGCAGCGCCTCCTCCAGCACCTCCCACGTCTCATCCTCGGGGCTCCAGGCAGCCGCACGCTCCGAGTCCCCAGTGCCCGGCTGCTTTGCATCGATGCCAACCTGCTGCAAACTCTCACTGCCTGCTTTCTCTGAACCTTCCCCATCGCCTGCTTTTTGCGATCCAGTGCCACGTTTCTCCCTTCCCTCGCTGCGTGCATTCTCCAACCCTGCTCCACATGCGTTCTCTAAGCTCTCCCCGCCAGGCTTCTCGGCCTTTTCCTCTTTTTCCAGAGCCTCTGGATCCTCGCCCTCACCGTCTGTTCGCACACAGACCAGGGGGGCATCCGGTAGCACCAAGGGCCGGACCTGGGCCCAGTCCTCCTCAGTGGGGGCTCCAGAGGTGACAAGGATGAGGGCGTCGTAGCGGATTGGGTGGGGGGCGGCAGCAGGAGCCGAGGAGCCCATAGGGACGGTCCAGAGCACCACATTGGGGCGCTCTGGGGCAGGGTAGGGTGTGGGCCCAGCAGGCGCGGAAGCAGGCTCAGGGCCTGGGTCGTGGGTATCCAACCCCAGCAGCATGTCCAGCACAAAACCCACGTCAGCAGTGCCGGCTATGGCCAGGTCCAGCCGAGCGCTGCCCAGTCGCTCTAGGCCAGCACGAACCCAGGACAGCGCTGCCTCCAGGCCGCCCCTCTCGAAGGCCTCACGCACAGCCTCCAGCTCAGCTGCTCCCAGCACCTCGAAGCCATCCTGAGCCGGTGGCAGGAGCCTGTGGGGACAGGAAGGGATGGGGTAAAGGGCAGAAGAGGGACTAAAGCCCCAGAGGGCTGGGCTAGGGGAACAGGACTGGGCTATGATGACAAGTGCGGAACTTTCAGAATAATCTTGAGTGGGGAAGGAGCAGGAAAGGGAAGGGGCTGCTTGATGGTCCAGGCAAGTAGAAACCAGGGCTATGAAGAAAAGTGAGAGGCTTAAAGCAGGGATGGGATGGCTTGAATGAGCTCAGGTTTCCAACAGAGCCTAAAACCAGACTCAGCTAAGTCTTCCGTGGCATAGTTTCTGGGGGTGAGGCTTTTCCTAGGGACCTGCAAGGTTAAGAAAAGGCTGTGCTGGGTGAGGCAAAACACAGGGCAGGTGGGGCCCGGAGCAAAGAGAGAATCACCATTGTATTGTGGACTAAACAAAAGTGTAGCCCTGTTCACTATTCAACATGGGCAAGGTCACCAAGAGGGCTCTTTCCTGACATTAGGTGTAAGGAGGGGAGTAAAGACCAGAGGAGAAACCTGAACTACTAGTTCTTACCAGGGGGACGTGGCTAAGTAAAATAGAGAAGCGACAGGCCTGGAGGAGAGGTTGCCCCTCCCCGAGCCTCATTTTGATTCTGAAGTGAGGCAGCTGGGGGTTGGGGAAGAAAACTCAGGAGATAGCCAGCAAGTGGGCACAAAAATGAAAGAAAATTAAAGAAAGGCAGTGGGGGAGGGTACCCAGAAATAGTGAAGCTCACTGAGGGGTCTCTTTAGGGTAACTGGGGTCACTTGAGAACCAAGCTGATGAGGAGGTTGAGGAAGATTAGAGATTATGAGTCTTCAGGTAAAATCGTGATGATCACAAGCTAGTGGGAAGAGTGAGCTCTTCACATTTTTGCCTGGGGTCAGCATTTAGGTGATAGGTCCCAGACTTTTCTAGAATCCTCCTTAGGGAGAGGGGCTTGTGACCTCAAAGCACTCTCAGGAGGTGGGACCTGGATGACCTCCTGCCAGCGCTTGGCTAGGGTGGGGCCTATCTGACAAAAGAAGGCCAAACACAGAGCGCTTGCTTGGTTGGACCTCAAAACCTGCGCCGAGGGGGGAGGGGGCCTGGATTCGGGAGCAGGGCCTCCAGCAGATATTCGGTTAAGGCTTGCCCCAAACTCGCTGGGGGCGGGGTCTGGAAGACCTTAACACCTCCGGGGTGAGGTCTAGACTGAATAAAGGACCAGGCCTCCCCAATCCACCCTGAAACGTCATGCTCACCTCTGCAGCGCCTCCGCCTGGCTCCGCAGCGCCGCCTGCAGGCGCCCCAGTTCCTCGCAGCTGTCGCTGCTGCGGCAATCCGCCGGCAGCACGTAGAGAGGCACGGCTCCCAACCCTGCGCTGTCCAGCAGGGCTGCTGTCTGATCCCGGGCCTGGGCTTCATTCTGTGAATCCCCAGGACGGAGGTTCCGCACAGCCAGCAGCGGGGTCCCTCGGGCCATTGCGGCCCGTGCTGCCTCCCCCAGTGCTGGGGCCAAGGGCTCCTCGTTCCCCTCAGGGCCGGGCAGCACCAGTACCAACATGTTAGCCTCCGCTGCCCAGGGCCCCGGTGCTGCGGGTGGGCAACTCAGCTCGCCCAGGAAGAGGCCTGGGCCCGCAGTTCGCAGGCTGGGGATCCCGGGGTCGGGCCGTCCATCGGGGATCTCTACTACCTCCACACCCTTGTTGCACAGCGCTGCAATCAGCGCAGACTTTCCCGAGCCCGGAGGTCCCAGGAACAAGGCGGTTACGTCACCCCGCGGCAGAGGCATAGCTGGAAAGCAAGCGATGGGTAAGATCGGGCTCAGGGAGCACCCAGCCGTTTTCTGTCCTAGTCATCCCGCTCTGGTCCTAGACTTCAATCCTCCACCCTGTCCCCTTCTTCCATTCTCCGCTATCACTCCCAGGGACCTAGAAACCCGGCGCCTAGATCCTATTCCCCAGAGACCTGGAGTCCTGTCCGGTCCTCTTTATGGATGTGTTTCCCTTTCTACTTCAAACACTCAGAAATCCGGCCTCTCGCCCTCCTCCCTCAGGGACACATTTGTTTTTATCCCGCGCTCCTCCCTCCCAAATCACCAACCGAGCGAAGAGGCGGCGCACCAAAGGGCACAGCTGCTCGCGGCCGGTCCGCCGCCGAGAAGCCCCGCCCCTGGAGTCGGACGGTCGGGGCCTGAAGAGGCTGGAGCGCGGGGATTTGGAGACGTCAAGACGCGTGCCGGGACCTCTCACCTGACGTCACTCCTTTTAGGAGGCGGTGTGTCTTGGAAGCGTGACCTCAGGTAAACAGCCCTTCGCGGCGCCTGCGCAGAATGGTCCAGGGCACTCGTTCCCCAACTCCCGCGGTCGCAGAACCTTAAACAATAAGGAAGCCAGAGCGCCTGCGCGCCAGGAGCGCCTAACACACCTGCGCAGTGAGCTTAGGTCTGTACGGCACGGGTGGCTCGCGACGTCATCATAACGCACCGCAGTGCAGAGAAGGACCCCTCCCCTTCTTTTCAGGACCGGGTGGGAACGCCCGCACCACTGCCGGACGGCAATCCGGGGTCTCCGCCTCGACAGGCGAGAGGGCGTGGAAACCACCGGGGCCTTGAGACTCGGTGGGCCCTACCCTGCTTCCCCCCGCGTGGCGGCGCCTTGACGAGCGACTGACAGGCGCTGCGAAAGGCAGCCTTGTGCTGTTTGGAGAAAAGCAGAGGCCTGGGTACCCGCCCGGGAAGGGGCGCGCCGAGGGCGGTGCCTGAGGCAGCCGGACCGGTGGCTGGAAGCGCGCTTAGAGGCGGGGGCACTGGGTGGAACGGGAGTTACAGGATGTCGGAGAAGGCTGTCTGCGGGGAAGAGGCGGGCTAAAGCGTGGGTACCGCTACCCGCCTCGGGACTTGTGGGAGGGACGGGGTGGGGAGGCTGTCAGACAGAAAGGGTTCCGCGCTCTGAGTTCAGAGCGCTAGTCTGATGTAGGTCTTGGGTCTCACACAGGTGCGATGGCTCTAAGGGGAGTCACAACCCCCGGGAGGCGAGTCTTTTGGGAGGGTTGAAGTTTCTCTAGTGAGAGCTTCATCAGGTTAGAGTTCAAGGAGATAGTATCTCGAGGGGGTCAAAGGCTGGCAAGGAGAGCCTCTATGCCAGAGGTCCGAGGCTTAGCGGGCTCTCTGAGGCAGGCGACGGATGAGCGACTTCACCTGATTTACTGTTCTATCATGCGTGCTCCTCTCTTGACCAGAGGGGTCCTAGTCACCATGGAGGACCCGCTTCCCAAAGAGACCTTGGAGCAGCAGGATTCGTCCAAAGAGAGGAGTCCCCGCAATGCAGGAGGCGACATCTGTGAGTACCGCTGGCCAGAGGGTGGGGTGCAGGAACTGATGCTAAAGAGATCCTTACCCTTATTTTGCTCAGTTGTACCCACCCTGTTCTGTCCACATAAGTATGAATGGGATGCAGTTCAGAGGGACAAAGTGGCATCCAGACAGGCTTGGGGTGGGAGATGTGGCTGGGAAACAGCAGGGGCTGTGAGAAGAACCCCAAGGTTCCAGTTCCAACTCCGCCCCAGGCGTTCAGTGCGACTTGGGCCTTGGTTTCTATATCTGTGAAAAAGGGTTGCCATTACCACCTCTAGTCACTGCACAGGGCTGTTATGGGGATTAAGGGCTGAAAAGAGGAAAGCTTGAGGGTAATGAAAGTAGCCAGTTTGACATAATAGCAACAACTCCCGCTGAATGCTTACTATGTGCTAGGTCATTAACACTGGTTATTTCATTCAGTCCTCCTAACAGACCCTATGATATTGGTTACTGTCACTTTCAGATGAGGGAACTGAGGCAAAGAGAGGTTAAGTATTTGTAACATTGACAGCCACAGTGTCAATGCCCTTCAGCCAAAGACCCCCAGGAACACACCCACATGTAGTCAGCTAGTCGGTTTATTGCTTACTGCACTGAGGAAGCTCACACACCATAGGGGCACCGTGGGGGGCATCTCAGTAATAGTGTTACAAAGGACTGATTAGAGGATTTGGGTTTGTGGCAGGTGATTTTGGGGAGGGTTCAAGGAAGAAGGGTTTTGCTCTGGATTGGATGGTGCTAGGAAGCAGGGCAACTCTATGCTTCACTATCTTAATAAATCTTACCTAGAAGGCAGAGAACAAAGCAAGGCACAAGCTGTGATTGGTAAAGCAGCCACTGCCAATCTTATTAGCCAGGACATTTGGGGTGTTTGGTCATTTTTGTGGCTTGGACAATGTTAATGTTTTGTCTGTGTTCAGATGCTATTATGGCATGGACTTGTCTTGATTCAGTCAGTGTGGCTTGTCTGATGACATCCTGTGAAATTGTTTATATTGCATAGGAGAATGCCAAAGCCTATCTGTAGTGCCAGGCCAACTCCTGGCTGTGGGGCTGCCTTTCTCCTTAACAGTAATAATTGCAAACCACTGTGTAGTGTTCTAAGCACTTTATATAAATTCACTCATTACTTACAATAGCCCTATCAGGTAGATACTGATATGGTTATGACCCCATTTTCCAGATGAGGACTATTGTACCTGCCTCGGAAGTAGTAGACCTGGTCTGGTTCCAGAGGCTATGCTCTAATCACACGGCTGTATTGGAAGGACAAACTCCCTGGGTTCCAGTCCTAACTCCATTTCATTTCCTAACCTTGTGACTGTGGGCCTAACTTTTGTGAGCCTCAGTCTGCTCATCCATAAAACAGGTTCAATAATAACTTGCCTGGACTGCTGTCCAGCCCTGGCATACAGCCTGGCACATAGTAAGCACTGAATGTTAATTGTTGGCATGATTCTGGGGCTTGGGAAAGGTCCTAGAGACTCTTGCTGGCCTCCCCCGACCTCTCCCCACGTCCCTCAGGCCATCTGGGGGCCCTGCAGTGCACCCGCTGCCTCATCACCTTCGCCAATTCCAAGTTCCAGGAGCGCCACATGAAGCGGGAACACCCAGCGGACTTCGTGGCCCAGAAGCTGCAGGGGGCCCTCTTCATCTGCTTCACCTGCGCCCGCTCCTTCCTCTCTTCCAAGGCCCTGATCGCCCACCAGCGCAGCCACAGTCCTGCCACCAGGCCTTCCCTGCCGGTTGTACCCACCATTGCCCAGCCCACCTTCCCCTGCCCTGACTGTGGCAAGACCTTTGGGCAGGCCGCTTCTCTGAGGCAGCACCGCCAGGTGCATGAAGCCCACTCCCCTCCTGGCCCCTTCGCCTGCACTGAATGTGGTCAGGACTTTGCCCAGGAAGCTGGGCTGCATCAACACTACATCCGGCATGCCCGTGGGGAGCTCTGAGTGCAGCTTCAGCCCTCCCCGGGGTAACGGGCTGTGTGGCTGGTGGGACCCACCTTTGATAATGGGATGGGCCCTTGCAGGAATTTGCTTCCCTCCCTGGAAAGGCAAAGGGCTCCTAATAAATAGAACCCAGATGCTCTTTAGAGCTTCAGTCTTTGGACAGAAAGGCCTTTAGGGAAACAGTGAAATCAGACAAGAGTGAGATCTTTTGTTTTAAAAAAAATGAGTAAGAAAGAGGGAAAGTTATTTGTATCTCCTGCATTCCCAATTAAGTAGCTTGAAATCACAGTAGCTGCAGATTGTGTAACCACCTTTAATTCTTCCCTGATGGATGCCATGGGCTGTAGGAGCAAATTGCCCTGGTTCTGTGCCTAAAGGGGAGCAGGGAAGGTGAGGTGTTGCTGGCCTGTAATGCCACCAGATGGGTCCCAGATATGGAGCAGCTCCAGCCTTTGGGGATGGGCAGCAAAGTTAGGAGCTGTACTGAGTAATGTGGGGGTTGCAGTTCAAGTCCTTGTCTCCTCCCCACCCTCTGCCAGCCTTTTCCACCTGAGGGGCCATGGCAGCGGGTGGCTTTGTCATTTACTGCCCATTTAAATAATTTTATGTACCATCTGGTCATGGAATATTTTTTATACGTGTGAGATGGTATGAATAAACTAACAGAAATAGTATCTAAAAACAGAAAAACTCTACATTAAGATATCTAAACAAGGAACTCTGGCTTTTCAGTAGGAATTCCCAGAGTACATGAAAAGGGCATGAGGAGGGGGGAGCTCAGGGCTGAGCCGGCCTTGCCCTGTGAGGAAACTGGTTTGGTATCAAACAGAGATACCTTCTGTTTCCCGTTGTACTTGGCCAACATTGGGAGATTTCCCATTAAGATCCGATTTTCAGCTCTTGAAAAGCCTACCCTTGGCTGAGTCCCACCAGGCCAGTTTTACTCCTTTGCATTACCTGCCTTGCCCCTAGAGACAATGGTTGATGCCCTATATATATAAACTCATTTAAATTGAGAGATGTTTTTAAAACCCACAGTTGGGATGGAGGTGGTAGAGACTGACAGCTGTTCCCAATTTTTAGCTGGGCATATGATGGCTACAGAGACCACATCTCCCAGATTCCCTTGCAGCTAGCTGTGGCCATGTGACTAAGTTCTGGCTAAATTCATAGGTAGAGTCCTCAAGCTTCAGAAAGGGACATGCCTTTCCTCCACCTTCTTCTGTCTGGAATGTGGACATGGTATCCAGCCATCTTGGACCATGAGAGCAACAGGTGGGATGGCAGAGCAACAAGATAGCAGGAGTCTGGGTCCCTGGTCAACTTCATGCAGCAGAGCCATCATATCAGCCCTAGAACACCCTCTTCCCTACTGTCATATAAGAGAGAAATAAGCCTCTACCTTGTTTAAGCTGCCATTAGCGTGGGTCTTTGTCACACACAGCATAATTTACAGCTTAAGACAGGAGTCTGCAAACTATGGCCAAATCCAGCTTGCCTCCTGGTTGTGCAAATAAAGTTTTATTGGAACACAGTCATGCTTGTTCATTTACATATTATGTATGGCTGTTTTCACACAGGACAACAGATTCAAGTAATTGTAACAGAGATCATATGACCCATAAAGCCTAAAATAGTTACCATATAGTCCATTACAGTAAAAGTTTGCCAACCCCTTCTCTAACTAATAGACATATAACCTACTCTGAGCCTGGATGCAGGATTCCTGACCTGGGAAATACTACCTGTATCAGGGTTGTTTGTGTGTGTGGGATTTGAGGCAGGGCTAGCTAGCCTGGATCTCTTTGCTGGAAGAAACAGTTTGGAGAAACTGGTTTGGAGTCAGTTGGCCATCAATTTTTTCTAATACACCAACTTCACCAAAGCCAAACATTTCCTCTGGCACCTGGAAAAAGCCCTGAAGTTTCAGACCCAGATGTTTCACACCACCCCCACACCTAAGGATCTAATCCCACATGCTCTCCCAATACAGATAGCTGCTTGCCCAAGTACACCCTTGGGCTTCCTGTTCTCTCTACACTCTCAAGATGTCATAGATTCCCAAGACTAAATAGTGTCACTGGTGACTCCCAATTCTTCCTTCAGCCCAAAACTCAGACTTCCCTCCATGAGATACAGCCACTTGGATGACAAATGGGAGTCGCAAACTTAAAATGGGTCACCTGCAGCCCCCTACCTCCACAACTGCCATCGTATCAGTAAACTGCACTGTACTTCTAAATTCCTGAAGAATCTGATTACTTCTCCCCCAGCCCTACTCTCCAAACTGCTCCCCTTGCTATGACTGGCCCCCTTTAGTCTTTACTACAGACGACCTGCTGTGTGTATGTAAATCAGCTTATGCCATTTTTCATTTAACACCCTCCAAAGGCATCCCATAAATAACTTCCAAAGACCTTATCCAGGCCCACAAAACCCAACAACTGAGCCCCAGCCCACTAAGTAATCTCAGCTCCCTCCTTGCTTTATCTTCTTTACCTCTCTCCAGCTACACATGCCAGGTTGGCTTCTGTCTCAAGAACTTTTTACTTGCTCTTCCCTCTGCTGGGAGTCTTACCCAGAACTTTGCAAGGCCACCTCCTCAGAGAGGCCCTCCTTGACCTGATTGGCTAAAGTACACCTCCAACCCTTACCTTGATTTAATTTCTTCCCAGCACTCTTCAATCCTCAGAATTATCACACTCGTTTGTTTATCTGTGTCCTCATTGGAATCCAAGCTCCTGAGGGCAACTGCTTCATCCCTAGCACTTAGGACAGTGCTTACCAAGGAGAATCAAAAAATACTCCTTGACTATGTGTGTTTGCCTAGTGTCTTTTGGCCTCCAGCCTGCCTTCAGGGGCTGGCTTCTCAGTTCTGCCCATGAGCGGTATGGGCAGAAGGAAGAAGGAAGGTGAGGCAAGGGCCTCACCTTGCTTTGGGCTATTGCTGGAACACCTCCAGCAGCAGCTCGGGTTCCAGTACCTTTCTATACTCTCACAAGGCACTATGCCCCTCTTGAGGTTTAAGCACCAGCACTTGTCACTGGTCCCTGCACCAGCCACACGTGGCCTGCCCTCCAAGCACCTATTGGATTTTGGTAATCTCACCTCTTTCTGTATCCCAGTTCCAGAGGTGGGAGCTTCTTGCAGACACATTACCCGGTCATCTCACTTTTTCATGTTTGTGCTTCCAGCCTCTAACACCTGTGTGACCAACTCCCTGTACTAAACCCTCTCTTTGGCATTCCTAGCTTGATTTCCATGCTCTGACTGGGCCCTGAAAAGAGACCCCACTGGTAGCAGACTGGGTATCCTGATTCAAAGGCTCTCATGATCCTTAGAAAATTTTGCTGATGAATGGATAATTCTCTACATCTGTGCTTACAAAGAAAGCCCTGTCTTAGGGCAGAAGAGGGCTTACACATGCTGCCCCAGGAAATAAAATCCATCTGTGTTGTTTTAATGAGCTGTGCATTTCTGCTTTGATGATTCTGAGATTCAATAATGCAAAGTTATAGTAGATATGAAAGTCTCGGGGATAAATGTCAGGTCCTGAGGTTCAGAGCTTCTAGTATGAAAAGTATGAGTTTTGAAAGATGCTTTGGTCACACTGGCCGGTGTGGCTCAGTTGGTTGGAGTGTTACCCTGTACACCAAAAGTGGCAGGTTTGATCCCCGGCCAGGACACATACCCAGGTTACAGGTTCAACCCCCGGTATGGGAGTGTGGGAGAGGCAAGTGATCAATGTTTCTCTCACATCGATGTCTCTCTCTCTCTCCCCCAGCACTTATTACCTTCTAACAGTATACTTTATATTTTACTTAAATATCTAATGAAGTGTCCGTCTGTCTCCCCCAGTATAACTTCCACAAAGGTAGTGATCTTTGTTCATCATGTTCACCATTCTATTCCCAACTCCCCAAATAATGTCTGCACCTCATAGGTAGGTGCTCAATAAATCATTGTTGGATGAATGAGTAAATACATAACAGTCCCTACCTCATAAGAATCCAAGGTGACTGTCCACATAAAGCGCTTAGCCCAGGGCCTGGTCCACTGTGAGCGATGACTTAATGATGGCCATTAGAGTAATTCAGGTTCTATTCTTGAAGGTTCTTAGTTGCCAAGCTTCTATGAGTTAACACATGTAAAACGCCTCAGAACAGGGCTTGGCATACAGTAAATGGTAGCTATCATTATAATTAGGCTTCTATTTTCAAAGCAGCTTTGGTGCCAAGCTTCTGTGAATTAGTACTTCCCAACTTAGAGCGAGAGCCAAAGTTTGGACATGGCTGTAAGGAGCTGGCCGCCTGCTTCCCTCCGAGCTCATCCCTCCAGCTCTGCCCTTCCTCCCTCTGCTCCAGCATCTCTGGCCTCCCTGATTAGGGCAGATTCCTGCCTCTCCCTACCTAGAACGTTCTTCCTAGCAGTCACCACCATCTAGCATATGCTACATCTTGTTTACTGTCTGTCCCCACCAGTAGCCCCTTTCCACCCCCATGTAAGCTCCATGAGGACAAGGATTTTATTTTATTCATGGGCATATTCCCAATGCTTAACACACAGATCCTCAAAAGATGTTTGTGAAATGAATTAATGGATTACAGTCCTTACCTCAGTTATTCTAAGGACCTGATGATCTCATGCAAATAAAATGCAGAACTCTGTAAGTGCTGGGAAAATGGCAACTGATTAAAATTAAGATTCTATTTTTGTAAGTTCCTAGATACACAACATGTGTAAAGCTCTTGGACCAGCACTTGGCACCCAGGAAGTGAAGCTATGATTATAATGGAAGTCCTCTTTGTGAAGGTTCTTAGGCGAAGTGGCAGAGAACATGAGCTGTCCTCCACAAACCATTTTCTGCTTTCTGGGCACTTGGCTAGGCCACCTTTCCCAGACTCCCTTGCAGTGAGCTGTGGCCATGCAACAAATTTCTCAGCAAAGGAACGTAAATAGAAGCAGTATGCGCCACTTCTGGGCTAGGGCTTGTAAGAGAACACGTGTACCTCTCCGGGCTCCCAGGCCATGGCCACCCAGACATGACCATAGGGACAACAACAGGCTTAAGAGATGGTCTGGGTCCCCAAATCACTAGATGGACAGGGTTGCCTGCCAACCTGAAATACCCACCCTGGACTATTATGTGAGCGAGAGACAAAATTCTGTTGTTTGAGCCTATACATCATGGGGTCTATGGGTAAACCACACTGAACATTCAACCTTTAGTGAAATGTTGATTATCTAGGCAACACTGATCCTAAAGCTCCCCTAAGGAGGAGCCCAGGAGGGTGAGGGGCAGACAGATGCCCAGGCGCATGTCTCACATACTGGACCATAAACACACACACACGCACGCACACATAAACACCAAACACACGCTGGACCGACACACACAGAATTTGGCTTTTATTCCGGCCTTCACACGTACGGCTAAGACAACACAGATCGGCAGCACCCCCCAGGACCACTTCACCACCCAATTTCTTCGGCCCACTCCTCCCGTCCCACCCCCTGCACCACGCTTCCTGGGTGGGGGCTCTGCCTACACCTCACCCCGGGCATGCAGCATGAAGTGCCCATGCAGCTCGCCGAGGCTGTCGAAGGAATCCTCGCACTCGGTGCAGTGGTAGGTGCCCTCCTCGTCCTCATCACCGTCCCCCTCCCCGCCCTCCGCCCTCCCAGCAGGTCGGCCCTCCCCGGCCCGAGGCAGCTCTTCCTCCTCTTCCCCCAGTACCCTGCCTTCGGGGGCTGGCGCTTCCTGGGGGGCTGTAGTGGGACAGCAGAGCCGACAGGGTGGGGTGCCTGGTGGAGCCTCCCCAACGGGTGAGCGGCCACAGAGCTGGCAGGGCTGGGCTGGGGGGCCCGGGGGCTGGGCTGCACGGGGGGCCCTGCGGGACGGGCCACCCCGACCCCCACCCAGGCGCTGTTTCACCTTGTAGCCAGGGTCATATTCAGGGTCATCAGTGGTCTCCTCTTCTTCCTCCTCCTCATCTTCCTCCTCTTCAGAGTCTGGCTCTGAGAGTGTATACTCGGAGTCAGAGGAATGTTCAGGACCTGTAGGGGGGTTGGTGGGGAAAGACAGCGGCATCAGGGGGACAGAGGGCTGTGCCCAGGTGGCTGTCCCCTCAAGCCCCATTCAGGCTTGATACCGGATGGAGAGGGTGGCCTGGGCCCAATCCTGCCCTTCCCCACAGGTGGCTGCCCATCGCATAGAACAGGGCCTGGCACACAGGAGGTGCTCAGTGTCTGTGTGTCCAGCATCTTAGGGGGTTAATAACAATAAAATAGGAGTAAAAGTAGGAATAGCCCTAGCCGGTTTGGCTCAGTAGTTAGAGCGTCGGCCCGCAGACTGAAGGGTCCTGGGATAAATTCCAGCCAAGGGCATGTACCTCAGTTGCAGGCTCAATTCCTGGCCCTGGTCCGCAACCAATCGATGTGTCTCTCTCACATAGATGTTTCCCCCCCTCTCTCCCCCCTTCCACTCTCTGAAAAGCAATGGAAAAAATACCCTCAGGTGACGATTAAACACCGCAACAATAAAAGCAGGAACAGTAAAAACAGCAGCAGCAGCAGCAGCAGCAGCAGCAGCAGCAGCAGCAGCAGCAGCGCTCAACGCTTTTGGAAGAGCCCTACTCTCACGTAATAACTCACCTCATCCTTAGAGCAACCCTGTGAGGGAGGCATTGTTATTATTCCTAAGTGACAAATGGGGACACTGAGGCAAAGAGCAGTTAGGCCTCCAGTCAAACAGCTCTAACAGGGAAAGCTAAATATGGGTGATCGCCTATGCTGGATCATTTTAGGAAGACAAACATTTAAACAGATATTTAAGCAAATTAAAATACACAGTATATATGTACTTTGATAATATATTTATTTTTATTTTAAATTTATTTTTAATTAATTTTTTAAAATAATCATACAGTATTTTAAATATATCTTTATTGATTTCAGAGAGAGGAAAGGAGACGGAAAGAGAGATAGAAACATCAATGATGAGAGAGTCATTGATTGAGCCCACAACCCGGGCATGTGCCCTGACCGGGAATCAAACTCCAATCGCCTAGATCCTAGGTCGATGCTCAACTGCTGAACCACACCCAGCTGGGCTATTTTTTATTTTTTAAATTTTTTTATTTTTAATCTTCATCTGAGGATTTTTTCCATTACTTTTCAGAGATATATGTGGTTTTATATATAGTCACACGCTGCTTAATGAAAGGGATACTCTCTGAGAAATGCATCATCTGGTGATGTTGTGATAAGAACATTACAGAGTGCACTTACACAATCTAGACCGTTCAGCCTACCTACTACACACCTAGGGTGTGCTCTGTGGGTTCCTGGCTGAGACATCCCTGTAATAAAGATAGACTCACAGGAGAAAAAAGTCTAGTAACGCGTACACCCCCTGTATACATATATGAAAGAGACCCAGGAAAACTGAGCAACTCAACAAAATGGCTAAAGCCACCATCTCAAATACCTTCCTCAGTTGAAGACAAAGACATTGGGGATGGGGGGAGTCAGCTATGGAAGATTACTAGAATCAGCAGTAACCAAGGGTAAGGTTGTTATGCAAATGTAAGTCCCAGTCTTCCCCACAGACAAAAGTTTCTAGAGGTAACGTCATCTCCCTTCCAGTAAATAGGCACCCTTACAAATGTAAATGCCTTTTACAAAGGGTAACTTCTACTTGTTTTTCAGAGTGCTGCAGTTTCTTGAAATAACCAGCCTAAGACAATCCTTATGCTAAACAGGCCTACAGTAGACCCTTGAACGTGAAGGTTTGGACTAAGAGGGTCAACAGAAAAATCCCCCTTATGAATGAATGAGCCATAGTAGTTCAAACCTGCGTTGTTCAAGGGTTCAATACTATAACTGTATTTGGGGGTGACATTCTGTTCCCCTACAGCTCCCAGGCCACACACCTGTACAGTATGTTACTATACTGAATACTGTATGTAACTGTAACACAACAGTAAATACTTGGGTAAATGTGTTGCACTATGCCATGAAGACAGCGGCGATGTCACTAGGCGATAGAAAGTTTTCAGCGCCATTAAAATCTATGGGACCACCACGGTACATGTGTTCAGTTGTTGACCAATGTCATTACGTGGCACATGACTAATATATATATATATATATATATATATCTAGTTAAGTGAATTAAAATATGTGTAAGAATATATTACTGTGATTTCATGCATATGAAGGACATGCCTAGGACAAGTTTAGGTTAAAAAAAGGAAAAAAATTATGGGGGGTGTACATACAAGCAGTGATCCAGGAGGGAGGATCCCCCACTTTGCTAACAGTGTGGGAAAAACTAGCTACTTTAGGTGCAATAGCAGGAACCTGCTGAATGTATCTTCTAGGACTGCAACAGACTTGCCCTGCATTTATGCTGGCCTCCTATTACAACTGAACACCCACACCGGGCTCCTCACTGTCCCTCCACACCCCAGGTATGTACCGGCCCCAGGGCCTTGCCAGCCTTTCTGGAGATGGACTAAGCCTTGCTCCTGACTTTCTGCCACATCTCTGCTCAAGTGTCACCTCCTCAGTGACACCCTGGTCACTCTGTCTAGTCCGTAATCCCTCCCCAGCACTCTCTATGCCCCTTAACTCTCCTTCTCAACTTATTTTATACATCTAGTTGTGTGTTTACTGCTTGTCCCCCAAAGTGCCGGAGCCTNGGAGATGGACTAAGCCTTGCTCCTGACTTTCTGCCACATCTCTGCTCAAGTGTCACCTCCTCAGTGACACCCTGGTCACTCTGTCTAGTCCGTAATCCCTCCCCAGCACTCTCTATGCCCCTTAACTCTCCTTCTCAACTTATTTTATACATCTAGTTGTGTGTTTACTGCTTGTCCCCCAAAGCAGAGACTTTGTCTGGTTCGTTGCTTGGGTGGCCCCAGGCCCTGATCTCCCTCCTTCCTCTAGACCTTTACCTCTATTTTCCCAACTGGGGCCGCCTTTTCCATTTCTAGCAGCAAACTCCTGCTCCTCTTTAAGGCTCCAGCTCACATGTCATATCCTCCGTGAGGTCCTCTCTGACTCCCCAGATAGTCAGTGTCTCTCTCCTCTGGAACCCCCAACACAATCTGACCACCTAAGCAGTGACCACCTAGGTCTGGAGACTCCTGGAAGTCAGGACGACCTGGCTGCCTGTCTCTGTGTCCCCAGCAATGGTGAGCCTCAGTCAGCCTTAGAAACATTTGCTGAATGGCTGCAAAGCACAGAGCAGACATCTCTGGCCTTGGGATAGGCCCCACCCCTCCTGACCCTCCCACCTCTGACTTCACACCACCTACCCTCCGGGTCTTCAATGCCCACTATGACTTCACACAGTGAAAGACAACCAGGTGGTCGTCCAGGGCTTTCATGTCCACTGTGACTTTCAGGACCACAAGCCCTTTTGTGCCCACCATGCCTTCTCCACCTGCGAGATCCTCAAAGCCCAGCATGTCTCTGGCGTCCACTGGACCCTCGATGCCCACAGTGTCTCCCAAGCCTCCTCCCTCCTTGAAGACCACTAAATCAGCAATGCCCAACAGCTCTTCAGTGCCCACTAAGCAATCAACAGCCCCCAACTCAGTTATGAGCCCCAGCAGTTCCAAGTCCACCAAATGGGAAAGTACAAAGACAGCCCCTTCTAACCAGCCCATCAGCAGGCCCCGAGTCCGCAGCAGGACAAGAACACCCAGCAAGGCCAGCACCGATACCAGGGCCAGCAAAGCCAACAAAGCTGGCAGGGTAAGACGCCACCACCGGAAAGGCACAAACAGCCGGGGCAGAACTCCTGGCAGAAGGGAAAGTAACAATTCCAAGAGGTCATCCAGCAGGGCCAGCACTCCCAGCAGGATGAGAACTCAGGGTGCCAAACGAGGCACACCCAGCAGAGTAAGAACTACTCCCCAGAAAAAGAGTGGGAAGAAGAGGTACAGCCGGCCTAGAACCAACAACCGGGAAAGGAGTGAGAGCCAGCCTAGAAATATGAGCAGAGAGAAGAGTGACTGTAGCCCAACAGGAACCTCGGCTATGGGGAAGAGTTCCAAGCTGGCGGTAATGTCCAATAGGGCAAAGAGTTACAGCCCCACCAGAGCTCCCTTCGAGGAGACAGGTTACAGCCAGTTTCCATCATCATTGAGGAGCGTGAAGAGTTATAGTCAGATGATCACCCCCAGCAGGGAACGGAGTTATAGCCCAAATGCAATGTCCAGCATGGGCAAGAGTTACAACCAGGGTAGTGTACCCAGCAGGACTCGAAGTCGCAGCCAGTCTAGCACCCCTAGCAGGACCCGAAGTCATAGCCGGTCTAGAACACCCAGAAGGGCAAGAAGTCGCAGTAGGAAGAGGACCCACAGCAGGGTGAGAGATCCGAGTTGGAACAGAAATCATAGCAGGGCAAGGAGTCGTACCCGGAAGGAAACTCCCAGCCAGATGAGAAGACATAGCCAGTCTAGAAGCCCCAGCAAGGACAGAGGTAACAGACGATTTAGAACTCCCAGCAAGGAGAGAGATCACAGCCAATCTAAAACCTCCAACAAGGAAGTAGATCACAGCCAATCTAAAACCTCCAGCAGGGAAGTAGATCACAGCCAATCTAAAACTGAAACCTCCAGCAAGGAAATATACCACAGCCAATCTAAAACCTCCAGCAAGGAAATAGATCACAGCCAATCTAAAACCTCCAGCAAGGAAAGAGATCACAGCCAATCTAAAACCTCCAACAAGGAAGTAGATCACAGCCAATCTAAAACCTCCAACAAGGAAGTAGATCACAGCCAATCTAAAACTGAAACCTCCAGCAAGGAAATATACCACAGCCAATCTAAAACCTCCAGCAAGGAAAGAGATCACAGCCGATCTAGAAGCTCCAGCAAGGAAATAGATGACAGCCCATCTAGAAGCTCCAGCAAGGAACAAGATCACAGCCAAACCAGAATCCCCAGAAAAGAGAGATCTCACAGCCAATCTAGAACCCCCAGAACAGAGAGAGGCCGCAGTCGATCTAGAACTCCCAGAAAGGGAAGTGATCACAGCCAAGCTAGAACCTCCAGCAAGGGAGATCACAGCCGGTCTAGAACCCCCAGCAAGAGCAAACACAACCTATCTACAAACCCTGGAAGTCCCAACTGGAAAGGATCCCCTAGCAGGGTACAGAGTCCCAGTCAGAACAGAATACCTAGCGTGACAAGGAGCGATTCCCCCTCAAGACTTTTCAGCAGAGCCCCAATCCCAAGCCAGGATGATATTCAAGCCAACACCACCGCCTCTAAAGCCAGCTCACCTGGAGAGAGGTCTTCATCATCATCTTCCAAGCTGGCATAGCCCCCAGTTTCAGCTGGCTCACGAGTCTCTGTCATGGCCAGAGGAGGGGACAGGAGACAGGAGCAGAACAGCAGCTACACAGCGTCCCTCCCTGGCCAGCTCTTCACAGCTACACCTCGGACACAAGTTCTCTAATGCAGGATGTCAGCAGGTAGAGGGATGCTGGAGAGGGAAAGGAAAGGCGTGTGGTGACTGAATAAATTTTTACATAGCGTCTGCCTCCCCAGCCTCAGCTGTGTGATCTGTGATGGGGGTAAGGCAAAGATGGCCCCAGCTCTATCCCTGATTGCCTTCTGGGCCTTGGCTGCAGGCGCTGCCAATATGTAGGCCTTAATTTCCCCATCTGAGCAACGAAGCTGTCTGTGGTTCTTATTCAATGGGGTGGGGAAGGATAACATTACAAATATTTAAAAGTGGGTATTAGCATAGGCACCATCAGAATGAGATTGGAACATGGTCCTATGCTAGGCATAAATCAGTTGGATTGTGGGAAAGTCTGGGGTTGAGGGAGAATCCAATGTGGCAGGTTAGGGGTATGGATTACTTGGTGTAGTGGTCTAGAAGTATTTAAATACTTAAACAACTGGTATGGCTGTGCTAGTCTGTGAATGTCAGCCCTAGTTCTGTATCAATTTATACCTTGGCAAGATAGTATCTAAATTTGAATCCTAAATCTGCTATATTCTGTGTAGCTTCAAGCAAAGGCCTTAACTTCTCTAGCCTGTTTCTTCTCCATGCAAAAAGGGCTTCCAGGACTTAACTCATGTGCTCCTCATAACCACGTTGAAACAGATTATCTCCTTTGGGCAGGGCCGCATCACAAAGCCCCTTCCAAAGTATTCCAGAGGTGAGGTGGAGGCATTCCTTGGGGCACAAGTCCCATTCCTCAATGACTGGCGGCCAGACTGGCCCCATGACTTTAGAGGGGCGTAAATGAGGCTACCACATACCACGTGGACGAGACCCCACAATGTCCTGAGCCTATAGCAACCATCTCCCAAGATTCCCTGCGAGAAGATAATAGGCACCCCCGACCACAATGCTGGAGTAAGGAGGCCGGAGCAAACTGTTAACATGGGACGATAAGGCCCAGTTCCCACAACGCCCTGCGGTAATTCTTCCCAGGATGCCTCAGGCCTGTAATGACCACCTTCCAGGGCGCTCTTCGTCGAAGCACTCCAAGTTTCCAAGATGCTTCGCGGAGCGTGTGTGACAAAAGGGACTGGTTCCCTGCAAGGAGCTAGGTAATTCTTCCTAGAATGCACCAGGCGGCCTATAACGACTAGCGAACCGACTTCCACACGTTTAGGGCAAGGCGTCCCGTTTTTCCAGGATGCGCCAGGGCGGCATGGAGCC